CATCTGGTTAATGATGTTAACATTCAGTGATGTTTGGAGTGAAATTAGGGTTTTATATCTGTGTTACATCCACATTCATCACACATTAACTCAGCTTCTCAAGAAGTCAGGTTACTCTGGATCTCTGGGCAGCGTAGCCCAGTACATACAGAGATAAACAGAGCGGGCAGTTAAATCTATGGCCGAACCACAGAACCACAGCTGTTCTGAGGTCAGCTGAGAACCGGTCACTGCTAACTGGTAGTTTTGCTGCTTTTTTTTACACACTGAATCTCAGAAACCCTTCAGCGGTGTGTTTAACCAGCTTACAACTGTAAAATGGTTTAATTATGTAGATGAGGTTCCTGCTGCTGCTCCACCTACAGTCTGCTGGGTTTTCATGGGTTTTAATGTTTATGACCGTCTGAAGAGTGAACAGAATAAACACATTATTTATTAATAAAGGTAGTAAATAAGGCTGACAGACTACAGTGTTTAAAGTCAGTGTATTTTGTCATTACTTTATTCTCTCTGTTAGACATGCTTTTCTTTTGTGGAACTTTTTTCCTTTCTTGTTGTTTAAACAGACGGTCAGTAATATTCAGACCATCATGTTTCTGTCTGTGACTCTACAGCTCCAGATTCCACGTTAAAGAACACACTGAAAAGGTCGGTATTGTTTATCAGAATTAAATTGGAGAGAAACCTGCTGAGTATTCATATTCACTAGACTACTGTATATTTGACGCAGAGTGCTGTGCTCTGGAAGATACTGTATGTTGCACCAAGGCTTTGAAAGGATGTTGTTCCATTCCACTGTGCATTTACAAAATGATTGGGATAACAATATTGTTCTCATTAATCTTGTGTAGCCCTGGTAGTGCTTAACTTTCTAGTCACAATATGGAGAGAGTAGGATGCAGGCTGACGTCACTGGAAAAGAGCCGTTGGTTTTGTTTGTCGTGTACACACACATCCCGTCCATCCAGTTTCTCTGAAAAAGAAAAGTTCACTGAAAGAAACCGTCAAGCTGTGACTGACAAAGCGGAGCTGCTGCTGTAGAAGAGCACTACCTTCTCATAGAGGAAAAAGGGGAAACAACCAACCAGATGAAAGAGGCAAAAAAGAATAAGAGTAAGCGTCCTCCAACAGAGGCAAAGAAAACGGTCTGGGATGAGTGGAGATATCCCACAGAGCACTCTACAGGCGAGTTTCTTACTAAAGCCAGTCTGTCCTTGTTTTCGTGTCCAAAATTGAAATAAATGTCCAAAAATGATCAAACCTACATTTTCTCACTTCTGTAAGACAGGGAACTATCTACAGTCCAATATGTTACAAAATATATCATTTCAAAGAATTGCCGATATTAAAGCACATTTGATATATTTGGGGCTTCTTTGCTTAACTTTTTTATTTGTGTAGTAGAGCTGTTATATAAAAGCAAAGCAATGTGTGTTATGATGAATAACATCACAGCTATGATCTATGCCCGAATATCAGCACCTCCTTCTTGTGTTAAAAACAAAAATAGATCTGTGGTTGACTGTAGTTTTGTGCAGTTATAGTCAGTAATGCTGTGTGTTGTGACCCACAGATACCAAGTTCATCACTGAATGTTTTTATAGGCAGTTAATGCCTATAAAAGTTAATGCCTGCCTTGTCTGTATGTTACTAACATTTTTTTCACCATGTATTTACTGTACAATCCTTTGTTGACGTATGCCACAGTCATACATGTGATCTTAGACCTGCTGATGCTGGTCTACTGCTAACACGCAGCGTAAACGATAGAAAAAGTAAAGAGGCCTCTTTCTGTTATTGTGCTGCTAAACTGTACAAGGCAAGTCGACCTTTTTAGATTTGAAATTTAGTAAACAATAAGAAACATTTGAGTGTTTAATTAAAGTACTACTTTTGTTATTTACCTTTTACTCTACATCACCGTCTCAGATTATTTTAATTAATACTCTTAATTGCCATTTATTTACCTTATATTTTCTTTTACTGTTGTTACAGAATTTTATCACTTTGACTTGCAAATTGCATGAAAATTATTCTATGATAGCCAGTGATGATACCTAAAAAAGACAACAAACACCACTACAAAATTCAGAAATAAGACAGCATAAGTGCAAGACAATAAGTGGGAGTTCGTCCCACCACCTGGGCTCCAGGACAGAGAAAAGTCTTGATGCTTGTCTTCCATGCATCCTGAAGAATGGTGGGTCAAGCTGAGCTGTACTTGCAGCTCAAAAGGCTTGAGGTACGGGTCAGGTTTTGACCACTGTCATCAGGCAGGAAGGAGCAGGTCCATTTTTGGCTTTGTGGTCAAGCATCAGGTTTTAAATCTGATGTGGGCAGCTACAAATAGGGAACACAGCAGTGAGTGAACTTAGGAAGATTGGAGACACACCGTTTGTTTGCATTTTGTTTTTGTCTTCTCAGTTACACTTTTTTTCATTGCATATGATTTGCTGTGACTGTACTCTCTGCTCTTTTCTGACTGACTTAGTGAGCTGTAGATTTGTGGATTTCTCTCCCCTTTTCAGACAGGGAGCTGTAGATTTCTCTCTCCTCCCCTTTTCAGACAGGGAGCTGTAGATTTCTCTCTGACCTTTTCAAACACAGTGAGCTGTTGATTATTTCCATCATTTTCTACAGTTCGCTTGTACGTAGTGAGCTGTGGATTTTATTCAGATGGATTTGGGGATTTGTCCCCATAGAGCACAGTAAATGAGAGAACAGAGAAAAGTTAAAAGTTAAACGAGGGACAGTCTCAGCAGAGGAGAGGAAGAACGAGAGAGGAGAGAACGAAGATGAATGAACAGACTTTAACAGAGTCTAATGAAGGTGTGAGAGAAGAGCTGAGAGTCCACAGAGAGAGCTGAGCAGGTGAGTCTAATCAGAGCAGCAGAGCAGAGTTTTCTACTCCTGTACTTTAGACTGCAGTGTTTTTCTGATCTAACTCACCTGATTAACCAGCAGTTCTTCACTCAGCACTTCAGCAGCTCCAAATGAGTCTGATAGAGCAGAGAAACACTCAGTCCTGCAGGTCAGGATGCAGCGCTGCACACTCACACCCAGACCTCACTGCACTTTCACACCATCTGATTTATCACTGCTGATTGTGTTGATTGACTCTCTACAGTTATTATAATGTGATTCATTTCTGAGGCTGGTTTGTGTTTCATGTGTCCCAAAAGTCCAGCAGCTCTAGATGAAGATGCTGAAGTGAGTCCTGTAATAAACTGTGACCGAGAGAGAGATTCCTCTCATTACTACTACTACTACTACTACTAATAATAATAATAATAATAATTTTTATTTTATTCATGCTGGTAGCAGCTCACAGTGATTTACAGACAGGTTATAAAAACAGTTATACAAGAAATTGTAAGTATTAATTTAGAATCATATAAGAAAATGACAGATCAAATAAAAAGATAAACACCAAGAGATGTAGTTTTAATTAAACGCTGAGTTAAAGAGACATTTTTAGATGCTTCTCAAAAGTGAGCACTGATTTTGACTGCCTAATAAAAGGTGAACTGAGCTCCACAGTTTAGAAGCAGAATAACTGAACGAGTCTCTCCATGTTTTCTGTGTTTTACTGAAGATGTTCAGAAGGTCAGTATCTGCAGATCTAAGATCATAAACAGACAGATGCTCTGTGATGTAAGCAGTGCTTTAAGGTCATTTAGAGCTTTAAAAACTAGTAGCAGAGCTTTAAAATCTATCCTGAACGATACAGACAGTCAGTGCAGCTCTTTTAAAACGGGACTGATCTGATCTCTCTGTTTAGTCTTTGTTAGGATGCTGACCCGTTTTGTAAAGGATGTATTATTTTCTTAGGAAGTCCAGTAAGAAGACCATTACAGTGATCAACTCTGCTGTAACAAACGCATGAACACGTTTCTCTGCGTCGCTCTGAGAGAGAAAAGGCCAAACTATTTCTCATTACTTTAGTGACTTTAAGTTTACATGCAGATAAAACAGAGCTCAGAGTCTAAGATCACACCCAGGTTTATACTGCAGGTTTGGTATATGAAGCTAAAGAACCAAGTTTCTCATAAAACAGCTTTAAACAGAGTTTCTGTACCAACAATTATTTCAGCAACATCCACTGAGAAATATCTGACACACAGCTCGTCATTCTGTTAAAGCACCATTAATGCTGAATGACATATACAGGTTTTGGAGCAACATATGCTGCCATTCAGACAACACCACTGTCAGGGAAGGCCTTGATTATTTCAGCAACATAATGTCAAACCACATTCTGAACATATTACAACAGCATTGCTCCGTAGTTGAAGAGTCCAGGTGCTAAACTGGCCTGTCTGCAGTCCAGACCTGTCACCACTGAAAATATTCACCACAAGGAGACCCTGAACTGTTGAGCAGCTGAAATTCTTTGTTTTTTATTTATAAGCAACAATAAGACAACATTTCACTTCCAAAACTACAGCAGTGTCTCCTCAGTTTCCCAAAACTTACAGAGTGTTGTTAAAATAAGAGGTGATGCAGCACAGTGGTAAACTTGCCCCCATCCCAACTTTTTTTAAACATATTGTTGGCATTAAATTTAAAATGGGCATATATTTAAAAAAAAACAATAACATTTCTCAGTTTCAACATTTGATTTATTGCCTTATTTTCAATGAAATATAGGGTTTAAATGATTTACACATCATTGCATTTAGATTTTTTTTATATTTTTTTCACAGAATCCCAACTTTTTTGAAAAAAGGGTTGTAAAATAAAGCAATAAATAAGGCTAACAGACTATAATGATTAAAGGTGTAATTCATCATTAGTTTACATGGTTTTTGCCTGTTTGACAATGTCTGATGTATTTTTACTACAAAAATCAGATGTCAGAGAATTTCACTGTATTTTCTCTGATATTATAGTTTAAACAGATGGTCAGTGATGCTGAGACGATCATGTATCTGTGTGACTCTACAGCTCCAGATTACAGCTTAAAGAAACGTCTAATCGGATCTGATGTTGTTCCTCCTCAGACAGAGAGAAAGAAACTGATGAGTGTGATGTGAGGAGAGAGAGAGAGAGCGGTGAAAAAAGGAGAAGTCAAAGTCGGGATGAATTCTCTGATTTCTGAGGTGAGTCTTCTGTTCCTCAGTGCTGACCATGTCCAGTCCTGTGAGACTCTGTCCTGCACAGTTTAGTCTTTTCTCTGATCACAAACACCTGATTGACCTCCTGAAGGACTTTATACTGAACTGATGTGTTAATAAATGTGTTATAACAGAGAGAACATGAAGCTGAATCTGTACTCTTTTCCATTCATTTCATCCACATCTTCACAAATCTGAGATCTGAGCTCTTCTTACTCAGACCTGCACTGTCTTTCTGTCTTTAATCACATTGATTTCTTTATCAATATGATGTTTGTGTCTATTAGAGTTTATGATGTTCATGATGTTCCTACGTTTCTCCAGGTTTCCACCAAAGTTCAAGCAGCTCAGATGAAGAAAGCTGGAAGATTAATGGTCAAATCTGAATGTGCAGCACCTGTTACTCACAGTGATGATTTAAGTCTATTACACTGTTGTTACTCTATTCTATATATACTGTTCATTCTGTTCACACTGAAAAGATCAGTATTGTTGATCAGCAGAATTCAGTCAGTGTAAATATTCACTGTTTCCACAGAGCTTTATTTTCCTTCTATTTTATATTGTACAGGTAATTGAATCTATTTACATAATCTGTAGAAAGTGTGTTCTGTATAAATAAAAAGTAATATTTTATGTGTTTTCCTATTCTTCATTTCTCTGTTTCATGTATTACTATTACAGCAGTCTAATGTGACGCTGCTGCAGAATATATAAAAATCTTTCTTGGCCAATAAAAATGTTCCGTTTCCTGCTTGTTTGTTTGTCTGGTGTTTCTGTTCAGTCAATCTTGTTCTTTCTTTTAAATAATCAGCATCAGATTCTTTCTTTTTCACAGTAAAGAGGTGGACTGACCTTTAAACTGAACTCAGCTTGTGATGGTCATTTTTCCCTGGTTTTATGATGATCGCTGTGTTAAACAGTGATCAGACAGTCTCTGACTCTGAACACTGTCAGGAATCCACAGGTTATCAGTGGAGCTGATAAAATGGACGAGTGTAGAAATAAAGAGGTGGATTAAATGAAGTGCTCAGTGAGTTTTTATTAACATTTGACTAAACTCGAGTTTTCAAAAGGTGTTTTCAACTTTATTCAACTCAAATAAACTCTCATTGAAACACAGACCTGTTTAAAGAATCTAATTGTGCTGAATAAAACTAGTTAAGAAACTCACAAGTATTTTTAAGTTGAACTGATGAACTGTTTTGTACAGTGTGACGTTCCACTGTTAGACACAGGAACCTGAGTGAACCTCACTGTGTCATTAAAAACTCTAATTTTTAGACATTTCTAAAAAACTCTGAACTTCAGACACAACTACGAGGGTCTTTAGGGGTCTGTTTTGTGGTGTGATGCATTACGTTATTGGTTTTCTTACTGCACTGTATCAGTACAGCTTTCTGCATGTTCATTACACCCTGCTGACGTCTGAGCAGAATATCTGAGTACAAACGATTTTTTCTATTATGAATAACGTTTAAAATCAAAATTACTTCATGATGTTAATTTATTATAAAAACACTAATACACAGTTATGACACTCTAGATTAATGAAATAGTTTCAGAAGAACGCCAGTCTTTTAATTTTGTGTCAGGTCTCAGTCTCCACCCCCTCCTCTCTCCTGCTCTCAGGCTCCGCCCCTTTTACCTGTTCCTCGTTATCCTCAGTCTACACCTGTCCTCCATTCACTCTTTGAGACTCTCTGCTGTAGTTTTGAGCCTGTTGTTCTGCTACTTTGCTGTTTTGAATCTTCTGTTAATTTTGTACCTTTTTATTTTTTTGAGTCTGTCTGCTCTTCAGTGTTCGGCTCAGCTGTGTTCTGACCTGCACTGCTGGACTACTGGATGAAACATGATCCTCTTCCTTAAACTCCACTTCAGTGTTTCAACAAACTCAGAAACTAAACTTGTTCACTCAGTTGACCAGCAGATGTCAGTAAAGCATCAGTTTATAAAAATGATTGTAGGTTTAAAGAAGTGACAGTGATGTTTGTTGTTTAGTTCCATGATTAAATCACCTTTATCTGCCATTCAAAGAGAAAGCAAATCTGCTTTAATGTGTTAAATGAGGTGTTTTGTTCAGTGTAGCTGTAACAGCACAATGTGTTTTGAGTCAAACTCAGCATCTTGATTATCTACAGTGAGGAGTTTAATACCAACACCTTCCACTGAGTGAAAGATTGAGGCAGTTTGTAGATGCTCAGTCTGTCTTTAACTAACATTGAACTAAATATCCATTTATCTACAGCTGAACCTAAAGTTGAGTGTGATAGATCCCATTAAATCTAAGTCTAACATTCATTTCAACCCAAATCCTACATCTACTCCTAAACACTAAACATAAGAACATAAGTATCTCCGGAATGTTTGTTGATAATTTAAGTATCTGTAGATCATCTAAATAATGTGGGACCAAACATAGAACTGAAGGAGGGTGCTGTTTCTTTTTCTCATGTGATTTAATTGGCCAGACTGATAGAGAATGGAGTGGTGGGGGGTCTTTGAAATGGGAATCTTGAGTGTTGCTGTGATGTTTATGATGAATAAAATGAAAGTTATATATGTTACACATTTCATTCATAATTTTATACAATTTTAATCAAAACAGGAGGAGCCAATCAGCAGGTCAGATCAGTCACATCACAGATGAGAAAAAGGCTCTAATGTCTGTTAAAAACACTGATACACAGTTATGAGACGCGAGTTAATCAGATCGTTTCATATGAATGTCAGACTTTTGAGGCCTCTTTTCTTTTGTGTGTCAGCTCTCAGACTCCGCCCTCCCTTTAATACATATACAGAGTACAGCATCCACAGTGTGTTTTAAAGACTAATACAAACTGAACCTAACTGTGATTGACAGGTGCTGTATCTATAATATCTATAATAATCAATACAGACACCTTCCAGTGTGAGGAATGTCGAGGCACTCTGACCAGAACATCTTAAGCTTTTACTAACACATTTAGATTTAACCACTAAACATCTACCTCTTTTACTTTGAGCTGCTTGTAACTTCATACATTATCATACAGCCTAAACAAGACTAATATTCATCAGAGTGCAACATGATGACACCACAAGAATTAACAGGAACAGAACACAACAACTTAGTATTCAGACGGCAGTATTGGTGAAAAGGTTCCCCCTTAACCTCCTCCTGCAGATCTAAGGTCACTCAGAGCGTGTTTCATCTTGCCTGTACATCAGTGAGTCTCTTTCTGTGCTTCAGAATTCCTGCCTGAACTCTACACTGATCTATTTCCACCCTCACACTGTGGAGGAGCTCTTAGCTTATTCCCTTTCATTTAGACGTTTAGCCAAATACAGATTAATTACTACTAATAACTAATACTAATACAGGAAAACATTAATATTTACATTAGATGTTTTTTCTTACAGGTACTGTATCTTTAAATATATATTGTTTAAAGTGTATCCTGTAAAAATGTAGCCCACTGTGTTGTTCAACCTGCCCCACCAAGACATGAACACAGGCTTGTGAATGAGGTTCAGTTTATTCTGTAAGGATTATGGCAACAATATGAGGCTTCATTCATAATTTGGTCAGTTTATCTATTTTTAGCTGTACTTACTATTAATAATGTAAGATATTTTCTACATCTTAAAAACTGCCATCTGGTGGTAAACATTAAAAATACCAACCATCTAGGGCCTTCTAACTTTTGGACACAGCTTGTTTCAGTAAAACTGGAGTTATAAACTCATGAGAATAAATATGGATATACAGGTATATTAAATGAATAAATAAAATCTAAGTTGAAAGGGACCCAGCAGGATACACAGTATTACAGAATCAGGACACTCAAAATGAACGATAATCCACAGTTATTGAAAAAAGGCAGTAAACACAGGATAAACAGACAAGCAGGAAACTGAACTGAAACTGACATAGAAATATTTTATTGGTCCAGAAAGATATTTTTTTCAAGAAGTTGCTTCAACAGCAGCATCACATTAAACTGTCAAAGTAAAAATAAATAAAAAAAACAGTACAATGAAGAATATAGAGGTAAAAAAGAAATAATGACACAGTCAATGTTGACTATCTAATTTTATAGAAAGTATACAGTCTACACATTAAGAAGATTAAATCAAACGGCAATATAAAAAGAAAGGAACATAAACAGTGAATATTTACACTGAATTCTGCTGATAAACAATACTGACTGTTTCAGTGTGAACAGAATGAACAATATATACAGAATACAGTAACTACAGTGTATTTTAACAGAAATAAATCATCTCTGTGAGTAACAGGTGCTGCATCTATGACTCAGCAAGGCTGATATTAGTGATGAAATCTTATTAAAATAAAGAGTTCAACTCAAACACCTTCTACTAAATCAAATATGAGTCCAGTTTAAACAGAAACTATCCAGTGTTCTCAAACCCAGTCAGATTAAACCATTAATCTTCCAGCTTTCTTCATCTGAGCTGCTTGAACTTTGGTGGAAACCTGGAGAAACGTAGGAACATCATGAACATCATAAAGTCTAATAGACACAAACGTCATATTGATAAAGAAATCAATGTGATTAAAGACAGAAAGACAGTGCAGGTCTGAGTAAGAAGAGCTCAGAGCTCAGATTTGTGAAGATGTGGATGAAATGAATGGAAAAGAGCACAGATTCAGTCTCAGGTTCTCTCTCTAACACATTTATGTGGACATTTATCTATGAAGTGGACAAACCTCTTTTCGAGGTACTGTGGTGACGCTCCACTACATTTTGAGAAAACCTCCGGTTCTCTCTAAACTGCCAGCACCAGCAGGCAGAGTAAAACTGAGCAGCAGAGCCAATCAGAATCTCCGTTTCATTTTGCGAAACTCCACCCGGGCAACTTCAGACAGCACCAAACAGCTGAATCGTACGGAGGCCTGCTAATTCACGAGGAAATTCAACACCAACGCGCGTTTTTTTTCCAGAGCACATTTTCGCTGCAGAACCTGCAGCTTTAAGATTCTACACTTTACAGACGCTCATATCGCTCCTGCACTGCGAGCTGCTGTAAATACGGAGCTATGAAATAATGACGTATTAGATTTCACATGGCACATGGACTGTGGAGCGTCTTTCAGTCAAGCATCTGACCTGATCAGTTACACTGAAACTGGTTTACACACACCCGCGACCCAGAAGGAGAAGCGGCTTAGAAGATGTGTATGTGTGTGTCTGTGTGTGTGTGTGTGTGTGTGTGTGTGTGTGTTTATGTGGTTTACACAATAAACAAACACCTACGCGTGTAATTTAGTCCAATTTAGCCCTTACAGGCACATTTAGCCCTTACAGGGCTAAATTGGACTAAAGGACAGAGAACCAAAGGACAGAGATAAAATATCACACAAAACTGTGATACTGTCTTTAGAAAATGAGCTGGGCATGAAAACAGCCTGATGTTCTTCAGAGAGGTTAGCTAACAAATATCTGATGCTGCAGCTACTGACGCTGTAAAGTGTTGATAATTGCATAAAATAATTACACAAGTAAAAGTATCTTCCCCAAAACAACTGGAGTAGAAATACAAAGGAAGCAGGTCAAAAATCTACTTAAATACTCAGTACTGCAGGAACCTCATGCATTACATATAGCATTCATTATAGGAAGTGAAAACTGTGCAGCTCTGTTTTCCTTCCTTTTTGGGATGCTTTTGAGCTTAAAATACAGAAGTTCCAAAGTCTGAGATGTAGTATTTTACTGAAGCACATGTACTTGAGTGAATGTAACTAGTTACTTTCCACCACTGAGTATGTATAGAATGACATGTCATTAGCATGACATGAAAGGCAGTTTTGGTCAGTGGCCTAATTGCACTTCGTCACTCAGACAGATGCTTTTTTTTGTTTTTTTGGAACAGTATCTTTTGCCCCACCACTCCCCTCACTTAATGCAGGGGCTTCGTACTCCCCAGATCAGCTGCTGGTGCGTGTTCATGCTACGAATAATTCTGTCGGTGTGGTGCCATACTCCGACCCCTCTCAGCGTGTACACGCGTCAGTGTCTTGGTGAAGAAGGAGACTCAGGAGAGGCTGTGATTCTACTACGGGAGGTGCTCTTTATTTACACCGGCAGAAAAGACTCATACAGGGCAGTCCATTAGCTGAGAAGGCCACTTCCGCTTCATGATAGACACCTAACCCAACTAACTGAACCCACACCAGGAACGTAGCCAGGGGGTGATAGAGGGTGCTGAAGCCCGCCTGAAAATCGTTCCATTTGCCTCAATTAAACAACCTATTTTTTGTTTTAATTTTCACTCCTCCATCATGGTGTTAAAGCCAGATCTGTCACTGTATGTATTCAATTGGATTGGCAAAAAATCTTTGCATGTAAACACAGTGACAGTATCACATGTTAAATCACAGTTCGCCATCAAATTGTAGAAGCAGCTCATGAATGACTGTGTTTTCAGTAACGGTTAATCTAAACAGTAGTTTTTAAGAGATGTTGAGCTCCTCAGTGTTACATCATTTAAAATTCTATTAAAGGTTTTACTTAAAACAGTTAATGTTGAAAAAGCAGACAGACCACAGTGAGAACAGTGAGAAGGCGAGAGCTGCAGCAGATCGTGTGGTTTTATTTTTCTTCTGTTTTTTGGGAAAAGGGGGCGGTGAGGGGCGATAATATCATGGTCTTATAACTGTCAAATGGTTTAATCTGTAGATTAGGTTACTGGTGCTGTTCCATCTACAGTCTGCTGGGTTTCATTTGTTTCAATGTTTATTACCACCTACAGCGGGATTTCTTCGTTCAGATAGAATGAACACTTGATTAATTAAGAGAATAAGGTAATAATTAAGGCTGACGGGCTGTAATGTTTAAAGTAGGTGTATTTTATCATTACTTTACACCTACTTGCTGACATGCTTCAGTTTTGTAGATAATCTGTGAAGAAATATCTGACATATTTTTACTTGAAAAATCTGGTTCAGGCGAATTTCACTCTGTAGTTTCTCTGATCTTAATGATAATCAGTAATATTCAGACGATCGTGTGTCTGTGTGACTCTACAGCTCCAGATTACAGCTTAAAGAAACGTCTAACCTGATCTGATGTTGTTCCTCCTCAGACACAGAGAAAGATGAGTGTGATGTGAGGAGAGAGAGCCGTGAAATAAGGAGAAGCCAAAGTCTGAATCGAATCTCTGATTTCTGAGGTGAGTCTTCTGTTCCTCAGTGCCATGTCCAGTCCTGTGAGACTCTGTCCTGCACAGTTTAGTCTTTTCTCTGATCACAAACACCTGATTGACCTCCTGAAGGACTTTATACTGAACTGATGTGTTAATAAATGTGTTATAACAGAGAGAACATGAGTCCAGATGTGTCCCAGCATTAACTTCTCCTACGGCACCTTGAATGCTCAACATGACACTCAGCTCTACTGTTACCTCTACAGGAGAAGAGAACTGGCACTCAGCACAAACCAAGCGGTTGTGTTAGCAGGCAGGTCCCTTCTAGCCCTACAGTTCCTTCTCACAGTGGGCACTAACACTGACACCAACCACCTACACTCACAATCACACAACAGCAACAATGAACATTAAACGTCTCTCCTTCCTGAAAGCCTCTTCACGTGGTCGCTTTGCTCGGTCTCGCCTCCTGCCGTCCTACGGCCATGTGGCCTGTGGCCGGACGCCACAGTAGTTTCTGTTCAAACTGGACTAATTTTTGATTTAGCAGAAGGTGATTGAGTTGAACTCAAGATGTCATCATAAATATCAGCCTTGCTGAGTCACAGATGCAGCACCTGTTACTCACAGTGATGATTTATCTCTATTAAAATACACTGTAGTTACTGTTTTCTGTATGTTATTCAGTCTGTTCACACTGAAGAGGTCAGTATTGACTATCAGCAGAATGAGATGGTGTCAATATTTACTACTTTCACACAATTATTTACTCCTTCCTTTTTATTTTAGCATTTAAATGAATCTATTTACTAAAACTTGTAGACAGTATAATTTGAACAGAAATGAGATATTGAAAATATTCACTGTCAATATTTCTTGAATTATTTTTTAACTCCAGTTTTACTGATACAGGCTGTGTCTAGAAGTTACAGAGGTTATAGAGAGTTAGTTTAGCTGTGAGGCTGGATGGGTTGTTATTTTGTTTTTAACTCAGTTCTTTTTAAGTGTTTGTAAATGAAGGTTGAAGCACAGGGGAGCTTTTTCAGTTATAGCCCCCAAACTCTGGAATGAGTTGCCTTTACATGTTAGACGGGCCCCAACACTTTGTCTAGTCTAAACAGGCCCAGTCTAGTTTATTAAGTCTAGTCTAAAAACACATTTTTTCTTGGGATTTTGATTCAGTGTTAGGCTTGCTCATCTTTGTTTTATTGCCTGTTTGATGAGTTTTCCTACATCACACTTTGGTCAACAGCTGCTGTTTTTAAATGTGCTCTATAAATAAATTTGACAATGACATTGACATTTTACCACCAGATGGCAGTACTGCTTTCATTTCTTTTCTGTATTTGTTTACTTTGTCATAGGAAGATGTTAAAGTGAAACTAAACTAATATTTCATATTCACAAATGTACTGTATTTGACACAGATTGCAGTGTGTTGAAATCTAATTATTAGGTTAATTATAAGTAATCTGACATATAATTAAACTGACCAAATTATGAATAAAACCTCATGTTATTGTTGCTGTAATCATTGCAGAATAAACTGAACATCATCCACGAACCTGTGTTCATGTCTTGGTGGGGCGAGTTGAACAACACAGTGGGCTACATCTGAACACATTTTACATTTTACACATTCTGCCTACATGTGCATGTGTTCATGTATTCCTGTATTAATGTGTGAATATAGTAATTAATCTATAATTGACTATATGTCTAAATGAAAGGAAATGGCTGCACTCAAAACATGTTATTTGTAATTTTGTGTTCTTGTTAATTCTTGTTCTCAGTCACTTGTGGTGTCATCATGTTGCATGTTGATGAGTGGAGGGCTAATAAAAGGCCTTGTGGATGCCTGGAAATCATAGTTAGGTTCAGTATTAGTCTTTAAAATACACTGTGATTACTGTACTCTGTATTATTAAAGGGACAGTTCACTGATTTCACATATCAAAATCTATGTCTTCATCAAAATGACAACATTCCTGATTAAAAATTATTTTAATGATCTTTTCTGTGGTCATATTTTGACTCTCGGTGACATAATCAGCTACAAGATGCAGAGCAGTAGGTGTTACTGTATCACATACTGCAAACACACTAGCTGTTATGGATGCTGCCCCATACAGACCTCCTGTGTACAGACGTCTGACCAAACATGTTGGAGCCAGAAAACAGAGATATGAAACTTAGTCAAAGACAGAGAATAAAGCAATCTAACCAGGCAGCCTTTAATCTAACATTTCAGTCTGTCAGCTGAATGTGTTGTTGGCATCAAATTCAAAATGGGCATATATTTTTCAAAAAACAAAAGAATTTCTCAGTTTTAACATTTGATATGTTGTCTTTGTACAATTTTATAATAAAATGTAGGGTTTAAATGAATTGCACTTGATTTTGTTTTTATTTACATTTTGCACAGTGTCCCAATTATGGGACATTATGGGACATTATGGGACATGGAAATGTGGTTGTAAAAAAGCAGAAGTGAACGCTTAAAGCTGTATGTCTGTTTCACTGCTCCGTTTTTTCATCATAATTCTGCTGATTCAACATCCACAAGCCAATAAGTTTGAAAAGAAGAAGCAAAACAGGCGGATTGTTCAGTGGGCAGGCCATTTAGTGAAAAAGATCTTTCTACCATGACAGTGACCCGTGGCTGGGCCAAAAAAAGAACGCTGTTTGGTTTCCTGTTTGGACGAAAACATATTGGCTGGTAACAGGAACAGAGTTTCTGAAGAGCACTGCAGAGAGAGCTGCTGGAGAAGAACAGCTGTTGGTGGGAAGATGGATTACCAGAAGAACAGAAACAGAAGACGTAAGAGGAAAGAAAGAATAAGAACTGATCCTTTAACAGAGGTGAAGAAAATCATCCAGGAAGAACTGATATACCCCTCAGAGAACTGTACAGGTGGGTTTTACAGAGACACTGAAGACAGCAGACAGTTTTACTACTGGTGATGTTGTCTCAGAGGAAAGGATGAGAAAGAATGTAACTACTCATTAAGAATGCATAATGCAATAAATAATTAAAACGTTCCTTATATGCTTTTGTACTCTCCAGTAATGCGTTTGATATTGCATTATCAAAGGAAACACCAAGCTAGAAAGAAATGACATTTGAATTATTATTTTGACACCATCATTGTAGAATCACATTCAGCATAAATATACAGTTCTGGAAATACATTTGAATTTAAATAAAGCTGCTCATAAAGCATCTAAATCTCTGTGTAAATGAGATGTCAATATTAGTACATCAAATGGCAAATTAAAACCACAGTATTAAATAGTCATTTTGAGCCAAAAATTGCATATACAAGTGGAATATTTAATAAAAAAATGTCCTGACTGATGATGAAAACACACACTTGCTATATCATGAAATTATTATATGAAATTTGGAATTATTATTAATAAATATAAAACATTTATGCATTATAAATATATATAATAAAAACAGAGGGAGTATGTTCATATATATGAGCTTTTCTTGTCCAATTAATTTGCTGCTGTTATTTTTGTCCTATAACTGTTCAGTGGTTTAATCTGTAGATTAGGTTCCTGCTGCTGCTCCATCTACAGTCTGCTGGGTTTCATTTGTTTAAATATGTTTATTATCATCTGTAGAGTGATTTATTTATTCAAACAGAATAAATTCATTAATAAAATGATGTATTAAATAAGGCTGGCAGGCTGTGATGTTGAAAGTCGGTATATTTTATTATTATGTTACAATAATGATTGACAGGCTTTGCTTTTATACAGAAATATCTGATGTGTTTACTTCAAAAAAATCTCTCAAAAAATATCACGCTGTATTTCTCCACTCTTTAAGCAGATGATCAGATCATCATTCAGATGATCGTGTGTCTGTGTGACTCTACAGCTCCAGATTACAGCTTAAAGAAACGTCTAATCTGATCTGATGTTGTTCCTCCTCAGACAGAGAGAAAGAAACTGATGAGTGTGATGTGAGGAGAGAGAGAGAGAGCAGTGAAACAATGAAAAGACGCAGTCTTGATCACTTCACTCATTTCTGAGGTGAGTCTTCTTTTCCTCAGCGCTGACCATGTTAATAAATGTGTTATAACAGAGAGAACATGAGACTGAATCTGTGCTCTTTTCCATTCATTTCATCCACATCTTCACAAATCTGAGATCTGAGCTCTTCTTACTCAGACCTGCTCTGTCTTTCTGTCTTTAATCACATTGGTTTCTTTATCAATATGACGTTTGTGTCTATTAGACTTTATGATGATCATGATGTTCCTACGTTTCTCCAGGTTTCCACCAAAGTTCAAGCAGCTCAGATGAAGAAAGCTGGAAGATTAATGGTTTAATCTGACTGAGTTTGAGAAAACCTGATAGTTTCTGTTCAGACTGGACTCATATTTGATTTAGTAGAAGGTGTTTGAGTTGAACTCTTTATTTTAATGAAGATTTCATCACTAATATCAGCCTTGCTGAGTCACAGATGCAGCACCTGTTACTCAGAGAGATGATTTATTTCTGTTAAAAATACACTGTAGTTACTGTATTCTGTATATATTGTTCAATATGTTCACACTGAAAGGTCAGTATTGTCTATCAGCAGAATTCGGTCAGTGTAAATATTCATTAGCTTTGTTTTCCTTCCTTGTTTATGTGTTTTTACATTTAATGGAATCTGTTTCTGTAATCTGTGAAAGTGTATTTTGTATAAAGATCAGATGAAATGTTCACTCTGTTCATTATTCTCTTTTATGTATTTTTCTATTCTTTATTTCACTGTTTAAGGTATGTATTATTGCTATGTCAGTCAAATGTGATGCTGCTGCAGAAACAACTTCTTGAAAAAAAGATCTTTCTGGACCAATTAAAATGTTTCTGTGTCTGAGTTCAGTTTCCTCTTGTTTGTCCTGTGTTTTCTGCCTTTTTTTCAGTAGATTAAGGTTAATTTTGAGTGTCCTGATTCTGTAATGCTGTTGTGTATATGCTGCATTACATGTTCACTGAAGGTAATTACAGCTAGTTTGGAATGTGGTTTGTATTTTATTATTTTATTTATGCTCTCATGTGCTTATAACTCCAGTTTAATTGATTACAAGCTGTGTGTACATGTTAGAAGGTTAGAGAGTTGGTTTAGTCTGAAACACGAAGAAGAGAAACGAGATGCGACTGGACAAGCTGGTCAGGCATGCGGGGTCAGTGGTCGGTGTGGAACTAGACTCTGTGGCTAAGGTGGCTGAAAGAAGGACTCTGCACAAACTGCTCTCCATTATGAAGGATGATGGCCACCTGCTGCACACCATCATCAAGGACAGGAGGAGCATGTTTGGTGGCAGGTTGCTGTCACAGAGCTGCTCAACTGACAGATTAAGGAGATCCTTTGTCCCACAAGTCATCAGGCTCTTCAACACTTCCCAGGGGGGGCAGAAGAGAAGAGGGAAGAGGGAAAAGGACAGATGAGGACTGAGTCTGAATCTCATGCTAAATCATAGGTTTATTCTATCCATCTGCACATGTGGACACCTTACTGTACATATTGCACTTTCTGTAACCCCTACCATGCACATCTGGACTCTCCACATCTGGACACTTTGTTTCAGTAACAATATATGCACATATTTATTCAGTATTGTCATTACATGTTAAGTATCTGTCTATCTATCTATCTTATGTAAAGTAACTTATCTATCATTCTATCTAGTCATGAGGTTTGTTATTTTTGGTGTTCACCACCAGATGGCAGCATTTCTGATTCCTTTTCCACCTTCTCTTACTTTGTTACAGCAACTCATAAAAGTCCTGCTAAATTGAAGTGAAACCTGCTGAGTATGTTCACTACAGTGCTGTGTGTCTGATACAGTGCAGTGTTTTGGATAGTAATTAATAAGTAGTGTAATATATCAGACATTATTAAAGGTAATGCAATTAGTTAAGGCTTATTTTATATGGACTGATGTGCACATTGCTCTAGATTTACTGTACAATGAGTGTACAATATAGTCAAAATATTTTTATATTTTACTTTTATTATAATTCTTTTCACCCTGAGAATATTTATCTTTCGTAAATTGCTGTGAACAGATAAACTGACCACACTGTTAATGAAGCCTCATGTTGTTGTTGCCATATTCATTACAGAATAAACTGAACATAGCATATCCTACCTTACTAGACTGTACGTCAAAAACAGCGCACCACCACTAGCAGTACGTTCATTAGTACAGTATAGGCTGGAATGGTCACTGCACCCCACATCATTGTAGGAAACAGAGCTTATTCCTGTTTGCAGCTCAATCTGGAACACTGTCTGATCTTCACTGTGTTTTAACTATTTTATTTTATTAGTTTTACTACAAATGTTGGACAGTGACAACAGCTATGGGCTGAGTTTATACAGAAAGTTCACTGTAGAGATATTCTGGGGTGTCCTCCTCCAGAGGTTTTAATTAACCTGTAAAACACACCCAAAAGTAAAACTTATGTGTTTTATTTACACGTCAATTTTCCATTCAATTTAAATACATAAATCCAATGTAAAAAACGGTATTATAATTTATGTTTCTCCATTATGTTCAATAAACCTGAATGAATTAAATAACGTTCAAATTAGAAGTGCTTGCAGGATTTATGCAATTTTTTTATGTTTATGTATTTCTAAAGAGTTAATAGTACCCTCTGTTTATGCCTCTAATTTTGATGACCCTGCTTTCTTTCGCAAGATTTTTGCTCTTATACCTGACACATCACCCCCTGTCATTCTGGGAGGTGACCTTAATTGCTTTTTAGACCCTTATATGGACAGGCTCTCTTCAAGACCACCCACTATCTCGGCTGCAGCCAAGGTTTTGAATAATCTGATCAAGATAAGAAATATGGTTGACATATGGAGGCTACAGCATCCAACAGAGAGGGACTATTCATTTTACTCTCACGTGCACAAGACCTATACTAGGATTGATCATTTTATGATTTCTTCAGAGCTAATATCTAAAGTCACCAACACTAAATATTGCAATATATTGATCTCAGACCATAGCCCAGTTACACTTTGTCTCTCTGATATTGTTTCCAAACAGACTTATAGCTGGCGTTTTAACCCTCGCTTACTTACAGATCCAGAGTTTATAACATGAACTCAAAGTTGGATGATTTTTTAGCTTTCAACAACACAGGTGAGGTGTCAGACTCAATACTTTGGGAGACATTTAAAGCCGTCATGCGGGGCATTGTTTTAGCATTCGAATCCTTCAAGAAAAAGGAGATGAATAAAAGGCTGAAAGACATAGAAAATACACTCCCATTACTTGAACAGACTTATAGAAGTTCTTTTTTACAGTCTGACTATAACAAGATATTGCATCTCAAATATGAGTATAATTCCATTCTGAGTAAGCAAGCTGAATCTTTATTAGTCAAATTAAAACAAAAATACTTTGAACTTGGCATTAAGCCTGAACGTTTATTGGCCGGACAGTTAAAAGGTGCGCTGGCAAAACAGGCAATTTACAAGATTGTGTAAAACAGCGGTAGCCTTGTTACCGATTCAAAAGGAATTAATGCTTGTTTTAAAGTATTTTATTCAGATCTCTATTCTGCTAGTTGCACAGCTTCAGATGCAGATCTTGATGCTTTCTTAAATAACCTGGACATCCCTAAACTTTCAGGTGTTGCAAAAAATACACTGGACTCTCCTTTCACAGAGGCAGATGTTCTTTGGGCAATTAAATCCTTTCCATCTGGTAAGGCTGCTGGCCCTGATGGGTTTGGCTGTGAGTTCTATAAAGCTTTTTCCTCTAAGCTTGCCCCGCTGATTTTGAGAATGTTATTAGATCCTTTAGAAAATAGAAAACTCCCAGATACATTATATGAGGCTAATATATGTTTCATCTTAAAGAAGGGGAAGGATGCTACTGATCCTGCTTCTTTTAGACCCATTTCTTTATTGAATTTTGATCAGAAAATATTCTCTAAGATCTTGGCACTTAGACTGACAATACATATTTCTGAAATTGTGCATTTAGACCAAACTGGGTTCATACCTAATAGATTTTCATTCTGTAATGTCCGGCTTCTGCTGAATATTATCTACTGAAATCGTAATGTAGATTCAGCTGAAGCCATAATTTCACTTGATGCTCAAAAGGCATTTGATCAAGTTGAATGGCCACATATGTTTAATGTCCTTAATCGATTTGGCTTTGGAGACTTTTTCATTACGTGCATGAGGATGTTATATCTGTCCCCGACTTCATCTATATTAACTAACGGCGAGCGCTCTTCTCCTTTTAAACTGTCACAGGGGTGCGACAACGCGATCCTCTGTCTCCTCTGCTTTTTAATATTGCTTTGGAGCCGCTGGCTATTGGAATAAGGAATCACCCAAAAATACACTGTATTAAATTTGGGGAAGTGAAATGTTTGGTTGGTCTCCATGCCGATGATCTAGTGTTGTACATCTCAGATCCAGCCACGTCAGTTCCTAGTCTTTTAAACTATGTACATTTGTTTGGTTAATTATCAGGATATACTATCAACTGGGCCAAAAGCGAGTTGTTGCCTCTGACTGGAACCTTAGATCCTCTTTTCTTAAATGCCCTACCATTTAAAGTGGTTGATGTATATTTTACTTATCTGGGCCTTAAAGTGTCAAGGAATCCCAAATTGTTGTTTAAGTTAAATTTCTTAAGCATGGTAGATAAACTTAACGCAGATATTGAACGTTGGCGTCTGCTTCCTTTGTCTATGATAGGCCAAGTCAATGCAATTAAAATGGTGATACTACCAAGATTTACATATATTTTTCAGAACCTCCCCATTTTGTTCCTGCTACATTCTTTAACCAATTAGATTCAATAATAATGCAATTTGTATGGGGTTATTAAACAGCATGTATTTCTAAGATTCTTCTACAAAAGCCCTATTCAGATGGAGGATTGGCTTTACCAGTGTTTAAACATTATTACTGGGCTGCAAATGCTAGAGCTCTAATGTTTTGGAAATTGGGATCTTCGTACAGTCTAGTGTCAAAGGATAGGCCAAGTTGGGTTGATCTGGAAGTTAAATCAATTACAGGATCTTCTTTGCTAGTTTTTCTAGACATAAAGTCTATTCGTGGGGTGATTGGCAAAAATTTCATATTGAGAAATTCACTTAAAATATTGAACCAAATTAAGGACTTCCTCAAATCTCCTGCAACCTCCATTCATACTCCTCTCTTCTTTAATCATCTTTTCCCACCTTCTGTTATGGATCATGCATTTTCCACCTGGGCTGAAAAAGGGTTATCTAGTATTGGTGACCTATATATATATAAAAAAAAATAATAATAAAAAAAATAAAAAATATATATATATATATGATGTTCATGATGTTCCTACGTTTCTCCAGGTTTCCACCAAAGTTCAAGCAGCTCAGATGAAGAAAGCTGGAAGATTAATGGTTTAATCTGACTGTGTTTGAGAGAACTGGATAGTTTCTATTTAAACTGGACTCATATTTGATTTAGTAGAAGGTGTTGCAGCTCCTGAAGGGATTTTAGA